TATATATATATATATATACATTTGGGGTGGTTTTGGTGGAATAACTGAGATTTTAAAAGTCTAAAGCCTTTTTAAAGAAAACTTTGGTTAACTACTGTTTTCAACTTTTTATACTCAAATGTTCTCAGTTTACAATTGAATTAAAATACAAGGATGGTAGTTATATAATTTAAAACGATGTATTATAAACATCTGGTAGACAGGGACAGGATTTCTTCTGAATATATTCTGTAGTCTTTAATATTATGTTTTGTTATAGTTTGTATAGTAAATAATATTTTCCAATTTCCTTTTTCTCTTACATTCCTGGGAAATTAGAATGGCATATTTAAAGCAACTCAAAAGTTGGATGGTTTGAAATGTCAAATGAACTGGGACCAGCAAGCATTGGAGGCCTGGCTAGAAGAATCAGCTCATAAAGATAGTGATGCCTTCACTCTTCAGAAATATGCACAACAAGATGATAATAAAATTAGGGTGAGAAATAATAAGTTGTAATTGATATCCTGATTTAGAAGTATTCTTTTTTATTTTTTATTTTTATTTTTTAAAATTTTGAGATAGTGTCTCACAAAGTTGCCCAGGCTGGCCTTGAACTTGCTATCCTCCTGCCTCAGCCTCCCAAGTAGCTTGGATTAAAGGTGTGCACTACCTTATACTAGAAATATTTATTGATATTTTAGCTATTTTGTCTAAAATATAGGTTAAGTGTTACATATAGTGTTGCTGATTTGTGACTATAGTACTATTGAGTGATGTTATCATAATCATTCCTTAAGATGGACTTCTATCTGGTGATACTAACATAGTATTATGAAGCCTGCTATTTTCTGGGAGATTAAATACCAAATGTATTATTCTAAGTATTTCCAAATGTCATAGTACAGTTTTATCTTTTTCTAATTTCCTTTAGAAAATATTAAAGTCATTTTAGAAACAATGAAATATTCATGAAGCTGTGTGAAAACATTACAGTTGCTTTAGATATCAAATAGTTATGATTTAGTTATAGTTATGTTAGTTATGATATCTAACAGCTTTTAAATTAGTAAAATAATAAATGTAAATATTTTGTATGTAACCACATCATAGGCACTGACCCTGAAGTTAGAAAGACTGACCTTGGAATGTAATCAGAAGAGAAAGGTTCTTGACAACGAACTTACAGAGACTCTAAGTGCCCAGGTTGGTTCTTGAAGGTTTTTATTTCTTAATTACAAGTTGATGTTTGCAAAAGCACTTGAATGCTCAGGAATGTTGTTTGCTCTCTGTTTGACAGTTAGAATTGGATAAAGCAGCACAAGATTTTCAGAAGATTCATAATGAAAGACAAGAACTCATTGAACAGTGGGAGAACACAATAGAACAGATGCAGAAGAGGGATCGAGACATAGATGACTGTGCCTTGGTAAAGTAGTTTGGTCCTTGTAATGTTCAGATATATTTGCCTCTTTCGTGTTTAACTTATTATTCCAAGTGTAAATAACATTGATATTTGAATGTTACTTTTGCAACAGACTTTAATAGTTTTGGTAGATATTTTTCAAAGCTGACCCTGTATCCATTTAGAAAAATGTTTTTACAAAGATTATTTGCTTATAGTATTATAATAGCCAAAGACTGAATCCTGCCATCTATTAATTGTGAAACAAATATTATTGTCATAAAACCATGTGCTATCTTACACATGGTTGTCCAGGATGCCTGGAATTTAAGGTGTAGGGAGCCTTGATAAGTAACCAATAAACAAGGAAGGATATTCAGACAAGAAACCTAGGCAGCCAAAAAAGTTTTACCATTGAAGGCAGAGCACCAATGATGTAAAAAATCAGAAGAGGAGGAGCATAGTGCACTAGTGATACATACCTACTGTTATCACTTGTAACTTTTAGAGGTAATTTAGTAGAATGTTTTTGGGAAATCATTAAGGAATGAAATATTGGTGAGTAAAAGTGGAAAGATTAGGAGGGTTTGGGACAAAGAGTTTGAAGAGGAGAGAAAGTGGGTGAGGAGATGTATTAAATTCTTCTGAATTTATTCCACAAAAAGGCAACAAGCTCAGGCCACGGGGATATTAGCATTCTAGTATTTAGATATGGCTTACTTGTGATTAGTTTATTTTCAATTTCTGTAAGAGACCAATATTTTACTGACAAAACAGGCAATGCCTCCCTAGGAGCAATGAGAAACAACCAATTTTACTTAGAGGTCCTCTTGATTCTTAATGCTGACAGTGGTATCTATTTTTTAATTGCTTTCAATATCAAGTCCTGCTTCTTCTATGTAAATTAAAAGTACCAGAGTTTTCTGTATGTTAATCAAATGTATCAGACCCAAGATTATAGATAGATCCACAATTAGCATTTTCATATAGTCTCATAACTGATTGATTCAGCCTGTTGATTTGGCAGAGTACACAAATAATAGCTGTCTGGACCCATTCATAGTGTTTCTTATTTACAGGTTGACACTTGATTGCATCATCAGAGACAAGGAGGAGTGCTCAGAATTGGTTCCTTTGTGTGATGGGTGGCTTCTAAGTGTTTAACAACTGCTTCCTGAGAACAAAACAAAATATAACAATACCTACCCCCAATTTAAGCATTTTTATGATACAACTACTTCTGTACCAACATGACTCCATTGAACACAGAGTTGAGAAAAGATGTGTAAATCAGTTCTTGTGAGTGAAGGGCAGCTGGTCCACACCACTAGAACATTTAGTCTGTGTAGGGAACATAAAATTGCTTTACCATCTTAGGGTTTCTGGCTAGGACTGACATAAAACTAGATTAACAGAAGAAAGCATGCAAATTTTATTTACATATCCAGGGAGCTCTCATAAGAAAACTGACATGTCCAAGAAATAAGTGACTAATAGTGCTTATATACAAGTTTGAACAAAGTGGGAATTGTGGAAGAATAACTAGGAAGACAGGAGGTAGTTTAACATGATATTTATTTGTACAGATTTCTACTGGTCTTGACTCCCTGTTTCTGGTGATAAGACACTTGACACTGGGAGGGAAACTTTCACATAGGCGTTTTATCTCGGTTTTTTGGCGGGGGGGGGAGGTTCTGAATGTCTTCTTTTGGATCTGCTATTTTTCAAGTGCCTTTAACTCAAAATGGTCAGTATGTGGAAGTGACATATTTGGGGATGTTATATTTTGATCCTGTACAAGTGAAATGGAACTCTTTTTTCCTTCTTGGTCCAGAATAATGCCTATCTTCTTAGTGCCTTCTTAGAAAGTCTGGCCATATGATCCTGAAATTGGCTTCTTAAAAGAAACAATGTTTAGGAAGAGAAAATATTTTTCTGCTATGGTTTTATTCCAGTGTATAAATGTTGGGATATTACTTATAATCATTACCTATGTGAAAACTTAGCCATGACTAATACTTTTAAGAAATATGGATGTTGTAGTAGGTTTTAAAGCATTGGCTCCAGCGGTAGAGAAATCAATATAATGCAAGAAATTTTAGAATGGTCATTTGAAATATTTAAAGCTAAAGAGTTTTGACATGCCTTTTGGTTGAATGAGCACAGTAAGTATGTGAATTGCTATGATTGTCATATACACTTGTTGTTATAGAGAACATTTAGGAATACTACATTAAACAAATTTAAAATGTCTTTTTAAAATATATTGCATCTCAGATATACATCTATTTAATAGGGTAATATATACAACATTACACACAGCATTTCAGAACTCATATTCCTCCCCCAACTTCTAGGATTAGCTGTTTGGTAAGATCCCTTTTGGGAACACTTAGAAGAAATACATTTTAGGATAATTTTCCCTACCACCTGCCTTGCAAGCACAAGGTCCTGAGTTCGATCCCCCATACCAAAAAAAAAAATCTATTGCCATCATATTACTTGTAAAAATCTCATTTGATCTTTTTGTTCCCCAGCATTAAAGTCTCATTTCACATGGCTTAAAAGTTGACCATGGCATTTGAATTTCTTCACAAATTTGCCTTACATGCTACCTTTCCAGTCTCACGCCTTTCATCTGTACCTGACCTTCTTAGGACTGTATTCCCTTCTCATACCTGCACTTTAGCCACGTTAGAGTACTGATGCATTTCCACTCATTTTTATAGGCGTGACTCAAATGACGCCTCCTGGGTAATTTCTTCTAGACATCTCTTGGATGAAATTCATCATCCCTTTGTTCCATAGTACCTTCTCAATATTTCATTGCATGTTCCATTTGTTGGTGCTTAAAACCAGCAAAAGCTGAAGTGAAGATATTCTTAATGAAACAAATAACTAAAATGTTACTTTTGAAAGATTAAAAATACCGATTTGTAAAATATTTGGAAACTTTCATTAAAACTCAAGTTTCTATGTGAAAAAAATATTTAGTGCTGTTAAAATTTTTAGATGTTACTCTTCACATATATAGGTCCACTGATTTTCTCATATTTTTAGCAAAGTTCCACATAGATAAAAGAAAGCATAGAGACATTTAACAATATGAATCTGTAAATATTGGTATGTAACATTAATATTTTACTTTTATTCATATGAAAATCTCTTAAAAAGTGTTCTCTTAATGTTAAATAAGCGTTGAATAATGAAAAAATAAAAACTAAATTCATTTTTATTTTAGTTTGTTCATATTAAACAAATATGTAAGTAAATGTATTTGTTTTGATTCCAGGCATTAACAAGGATAAAACAGGAAACAAGAGAAAAAGAAAGTTTGGTTAAAGAAAAGGTCAAGTTTTTGGAAAATGAAATTGGGAATAACACAGAGTATGAGAAAAGGATTTCTGCTGCTGACCGTGAAGTTTTAAAATGTAGAACAGAATATCAAAATCATGAATCCAGTAGAAGTCAGCTGAAGGATGAGGTATGTCAACTAAAAATGCTGGTTTATGCATTCATGACAAATTACTATGAAAATAGAATAAAGCCTTTTCATTAACGAACTACCTCCTGGTTCTGTTTTTAAAATTTCATCATTTATTTCAGAAATATATTCAGAGCATCATACTGTGTATGGCAATTTACTACTGGCACTCTTGCATAATATTTTATTACTATATATCAGTAATATAGAATAATGAAATTTGTTTTGGTGTACTGGTAAATGCATATAACATATTTTGTTTATTTTCATCCCTATTATTCCCTCTCCCCTCCTTAATTCCTTTTTTAATCTCTAGAAGTCAAGTGTTCTCTCTCCCTCTCTCTCTCTCTCTCTCTCTCATGCTTTCTCTTTTACATTGCTCATATAAGAGAAAACGTGATATTTAACTTGAGTCTGGCTTATTTTGCTTAGCATGATGGTTTCCAGTTCCATCCATTTTCCTGCAAATGACATGATTTCATTATTTTTTTAATGGATGAGTAATGTTCCATTGTGTATAGATACCATATTTTATCCATTCATCTGTTTACTGCCATCTCGGCTATTTCTACAGCCTAGCTATTGTGAAATGTGCAGTAATAAAAATGAATATGCCTATGTCACCTAGGCATGCTATGTTTAATTCTTTTGGATATATACTAAGGAGTGGTATAGCTGGATCAAATGGTATTTTTAGTCTTAGTTTCTTGGGGTTTTTTCATACTGCTCTCCTGATGATTGTACTAGTTTTCAGTCCCACCAATAGTGTAGAATATTCCTGGTCCCTCATTCCTCTCCAGCCTGTTGCTTTTTGTTTTTGTGATGACAGCCATTCTGACTGAGGTGAGATAGAATTTCAGTATTGTTTTAGCCCTTTGTACTTCTTTTGAGAGGTGTATGTTCAGTGCATTTGCCCAATTATTGATTGGCTTATTTAGTGTTTTTTGGAGTTAATATTTTTTGAGTTCTTTATATATTTTAGATATTAATCCTGTATCAGAAGAGTAGCTAGCAGAATAATATTCCATTGAATGGATATACCTCATTGTTTATTCATTCATTAGTTGATACACTTGGGTTGTTTATACTTTTTTTTTGGTACCGGTAATTGAACTCAGGACCGCGTGTTTGCAAGGCAGGTGGCGGCACCACTGAGCTAAATCCCTGGCCCCAGTTGTTTATATGTTTTAAAGCTGTTTTGACCAATATTGCTGAGCACATGAAAGTACAACTTTTGTGTAGAAGGGGATTATCAGTTTTGTAAATTAAATAAATTTATTTCATTAGTATATATTTGAAGTGCATAATGATAATATTCACTGTGTGGAGCTAGTACATGTACATCACACATATTGATTTTTTTTATGTCCCCTCTCCATTATCCCCATCTCTTGGACCCTTTTTCATCTGCAAAAGATCTATCTCCGTTTCCTATTACCTATCTTGTAAATATTTTTACACACTAGGATGTAAGAGCCTCAGTGTACTTTGAGATAGTTATTCTTAATGCTCTTTAATAGATTTTAAAGTTTCTTTTTTTAAAATTGTAGTTTTATTAAGCGATGATTGACAAGTAAAAATTGTATATGTTTATGGTGCAAAATATATTTTGACAGATATGTGAAATATTACCACGATCATGTCAATTTATATATTCATCATGCACTTAACTCTTTTTGGTGGTGAGAATATTTAAGATCTCTCTTAGCAAATTGCAAGTATGTAATAGATTATTAACCATGCAGTACTTCAGATTTCAAGAACTTATTCATCTTGTAACTGAAGATTTGTATTCTTTGACCAATATCCAGCCCCTGGTAATCACCATTTTACTATCTGTTATTGTGCATTCAACTTTTTTTTTAGATTCCACATTTAAATGAGATTATACACTATTTGTCCTCTCTGACTGGCTTATTTCATTTAGCATAATGCCTCAGGTTTTGCCTGTACTATTGCAAATGGGAGGATTTCCTTTTTAAGTAAGGCTGAATAATATTTGTGTGTGTGTGTGTGTGTGTGTGTGTGTGTAATAGCATCACATTTTCTTTATCCATTCATCTGTTTATGAACACTGAGCTTGTTTCCATATCTTGGCTATCGTGACTAATGGTGCAAAGAACATGGGAGTCTAGATACCTCTTCAACATGCTGATTTTATTTCCTTTGGATATATAAGCAGAAGTAGGAATCCTGGATTATATGGTAGTTCTAGTTTTAGTTTTTTCAAGGAGCTTTTATAATGTTTTTCATAGTGGCTGTAACACATTACATTTCAACCAAAAGCATTCCCTTTTCTTCACATCTTTGCCAACACTTATTTTTTTGACTTTTTGATAATAACCATCTTAGTAGTTACAGGGTGATATCACACAATAGTTTGATTTGCATTTTCCTGATGGTTAGTGATGTTGAACATCTTTTCATATACCCATTGGCCATTTGATGTCTTTTTTTGGAAAAAAGTTCAGGCCTGTTTTTAAATTGTGTCATTATTGTTACTGCTATTATTATTATTGAGTTATATGAGTTCCTTATGTGTTTCAGAGATTAATCCCTTATCAGGCAGATAATTTGCAAATATTTTCTCCCATTCCACATGTTGTCTTTTCATTTTGATTGTTCCTTTTGCTGAACAGAAATTTTAGTTGGACGGTCCCACTTGTTTATTTTTATTTTTGTGGTCTGTGATTTTGATGGCATATCCAAAAAATTATTCTGGACACTAGGGTCGAGGACCTCTTCCCATGTTTTCTTCTAGGAGTTTAATAGTATCAGATCTTACATTTAAGATCTTTGGTCCATTTTGAATTATTTCTATATATGGAGAAAGAGAAAGGCCTTACATTATTCTACATGTGGGTATTCATTATTCCCAAAGCCATTTATGGAAGAGTCTACCCTCTTCATTGTGATTTCTTGGCATCTTTGTTGATAATTGTAACTGTATGTGTGGATTTATTTCTAGTTTCCCTATTCTGTTCTATCTCTAGTCAATGTGTCTCTTCTTAGCTAGCTGTATATTGTTTTGGTTACTGTATTACTTTGTAATATAGTTTGAAGTCAGGAAGTATGATTACTCCAGCTTTGTTTTTCTTGCTCAAGATTTCTTTAGCTATTTGAAGTCTTTTTAGGTTCCATATAAATTTCAGCATTGTTTTTTCTGCTTCTGTGAAGAATGACATTGGAATTTTGATAGGGATCATATTGAATCTATAGAGAGATTTAGATGGTATGGACATTTTGGCAGTATAATTTCTTTCGATCCATGAAGTAGAATATCTTTCCATTTATTTGTGTGTTATATAATTTCTTTCATCAACATTTTATAGTTTTCCATGTATAGGTCTTTTACCTACTTGATTTAATTTATTAAATTAAATATTTTATTCTTTTTTATTTTTATTCTTATTTTTTATTTTATTCTTTTTTATTTATTAAATTAAGAATTTTATTCTTTTTTATGCTATTGCAAATGGATTTTTAAAAATCTCTCTTTCAGAAAATTCATCATTAGTGTATAGAAATAAACTGGTTTTTGTATGCTGATTTTGTATCCTACAACTTTATGAGATTTATTAATTCTAATTTCTTTGGTTGGAGTCTAAGTTTTTACCAATGTTCTTATGAAGGAGAAAATTCATGCCTTAGATTTGTTTTAATAATTTTGATTAACTGTAAAATGTGTGTCATTAGGATGTGTGTAGTTAAATGATGAGTTAGATTTTCCTGAGATTTTTCCAAATCCAACTAAACTTCTATGATTATCATAAGAATTTCATACATATCCATCAGTTTATTTTCAATCTTGTGATGTCTTCTTCCTGAGCAAGTCTCAGGATATTGGACACTTCTGCATTTACTTTTTAATTTATAGTTTTTTCGTATTATAAAACAAAGCCATTTAAAATTTGATATGAGAATAAATAACATGATCTCTGAAAATTTATTAATACAAGAAGAGTTGCTGTTTCTGTGAGTGTCATATAGGTTAAAACTTAAAATGGGCACAATAGACATTCTCAGAAATGAAACTATAATAAATAGAGTAACTTTGTAATTTTTGTCTGTTAACTAATTAATAGCTGGATTCTTTAAAAGCCACTGTAAATAGAACTTCCAGTGATTTGGAAGCTTTGAGGAAAAATATTTCCAAAATAAAGAAGGACAGTCATGAAGAAAGACAAAGGTAAGAAAAAAATGTACTTAAATGATTATTTATTACTTCTAGAAAATAATTATAATACTTAAGATTATATTTTGTTAAATAATTGTAATATTATAGCTACTGCATTATTAAGGTAAAAAATTTCCTGGCTTTTTATCACAGAAACTCAAGAGAAATGTTTTAATAGTTTTTTAGATGTAAAGTGGTAATAAAAAAGGTTTATAGAAAAAGAAAACTTCTAATTACAAAAGACATCTTAGGAAAAACTCTTGTTTGCTTTACATACTTTCTAGGCATGCTTTCTATCTTCTATATTTTCTGTATCTAGGTTACAAAAAATTAAAAATCATAATCAGATCATTAGCAAAAAATTAAATCATATAACTGAGAAAACCATGTCTGTGGAAGAGAAGGCCACCAATTTGGAAGATATGCTAAAAGAACAGGAAAAGGGTGTAAAGGTAAAGTTTACATTTAATTTTTAAAACTTACAGCAAACTTACCAGCAGTGAATTATACTCTTGAAAGCCTAATTAATTAGTCTCTTCCTAATCAGAAGACGAGAAGAAATTTTAAGAGGTTCCCTTGTATTTTTAGCATTTAACTCTAGTGCCTTCTTTTAAAGGTAGCCTTTCTACTGTGCCCCAGATTCTATGCCTTTCCAAAGTGTACTGTGTCTATGTCCCTGCTATCCATATATCTATTGGTACATTGCATATATATATATCTTGAAAACTGTTCTTGTTTTACAACTGTTTTCCACCTGATTATGATTTTATTTTAGTTTATAATTAAATTCTCCTGTTGTGAAAAGCTGAAATAGGAGAATCACAAGTTGTAGCCGAGCCCAGTGAACTCAGTGACTTAGTGAGACCCTGTCTTAAAACTAAGACAAAAAAGGGGCTATGAGTATGTAGCTCAGTGTGAAGGCCCTGGGTTCAATTCCCCATCTACCAACATTCATTATCTGTATTTCGTCATCTATTGTATCTTTAACCCCTTATAATCTGGCATCATATTTTGGCAAATGGACTCCAAAGTGTATTTTAAGGGTGCACTTTATTAACTATCCTGGCAGCCTGTTCTACCCCAATCTCTGGTGTAGTGGTAGCATTAAAGCAAATTTCTGAGAAACTAGAAAAGACTGGTTCACCATTTCCTTTTGATAACTTCAGAGTGAACTTTAAGTGTGACATATTATGGTAGGCACTGCTTCTTGCTTTTACTCTATTTTGGGAGATGGGAGGAAGAAGAAGGAATAGCTTAAGATGTGAGCAAAATATCTGAACATTTTATGAGGCTTATATAAACTATGGCTGTATTTTTATTTGGACAGAATTCATTTTCCTCAGTATGCCATAAAATTCCTGAGTAATGAAGTCATACAGCATTCTTGACTTATGCGGTATCTGAATACAAATCGTATATTTTTTTAAAAAGTTGTGTTTTCTTCCCCTAAGAGCATGATTGTCTATGGCACATAAAAAGGGACAATATTAGGACTTACTAGAAACTTGTACTAGAACTTTTGAGAAAGACTGTGAAATTCATATGAATCAGACTTTTTGATCACAGAGAATAAAAAAAGTCTTAGATTTTTGAAGAAATTAGCTGAATTAGAAAAACAAGTATTGAGCTGCTGGTACTGTATGTAGCAGGGTTGTGTCATCATCTTGGTTTTGTTGCCGTTGTTTTTGTTCACTTGGAAAAACATGATGCCCCATGTTTTTTGGATAGATTCTTACTTATGACCAACCACTGATGTAAAACTGCCAGGCCATCTTGTAGAAGGTTTTAAACTCAATGGCAATTATCTATTATATGAAAGATAATGCACTGAATACCAGATATTTATTGCTTTGTGAAGATTTAAATGGTCAATGGCAAACTTCTGTTTCATGTTGAGCTTCAGTGGTTGGAAAAGAAAAATATGTTTATTTGGGTATAATAACTTAGAAATTATTTTAACATTTAAAGATGATAACTGCCAGTTGATTGGGGCCACTAGAAACCTAGAATATTTTGGTCATGAAGCCTCTAGATCAAGATACACTTGCCTCTGGGGGAGCACTGGGATTTGGGGTTTGTCCTTTTCCAGAGGGCTGGACACAGTGGTGAGACCAACTGGAGGCAAAATGTGAGCAATGAGTAGTGCCAGTAGGGTACTGGGCCCACCCCTGCAGCTCACAAAAGTTAGGAGTTAAATTTTCAGGAATTTTGTAGTTGGCTGCTAACCATAGCTACTATTAAAAATCACACAATATAGGCTTACAATTTAATACATTATATCCAAAACAAAAGTAATAAAAATTCAACACTCATCATTTCTAAGTTATTTAGTATATTTGACTATTAACTTTAAATTATTTAACATCTTTTGTGTCTGTATGCTGGAAACACTGAATAATGGTCTTTTCTTGTGTATCTCTTCTCAATTCTGCATTTAGCTGAATCATGTTAGTATCCATAGTGGGATTGTTTGTACCATTCAATTTGCAATTTCTCCTTACCTTTTCATCCATTGGAGAACTGATGCTTTAAAACCTGATCATCACTTGATAGTGCCCCAAAGAAGATGGAGGTTGTGTGATGTAATTTCTTTCCTGTTACACCTTCAAGACTCCAGTAAACTTTGTGAACTTACAAGTTGTTTGTCTCCAGTGGTCCCCTCCCACCCCACCAATCCTCTTCCCCCGAGGAACCAGTGGAGTGGCCTAGTTCTAGGGCTAGGGAAATGTGGGATGGAATTAAGATGACAGGCCAAGGTGCATGATACAGGAATGGAAAACTACTAACCTAGTCTACTAGAATAGACTGTAATAAATGTTGAAAATTTGTTGAAATTGTGGAAAGGGGTTTATATTATCAAGGGCTAAAATGTTGAGGAGAAGGTTTCATTTGTTTATGAGCTCCTCAATTACAGTCTTCATATAAATAAAACATTTCACGATATTATAATTTCCTTAACAACTATAATTATTATTATCACCAGGAAGTGGAAGTTCGATTGAACATAGTGAAAGATGTGCTGTTTAAGAAAGTTCAGGAGTTACAGACTGAGATGATGAAAGAAAAAGCTGTTGTATCAGAAATTGAAGGAACCCGTTCCACTCTGAAACATCTCAACAATCAGTTACATAAACTGGATTTTGAAACCTTAAAACAGCAAGAAATTATGTACAGTCAGGTAGGTGTTACTTGTGTAGATATCTTTCATATGGATTTGTTATAGTTGTGATAGTCAAGATATCCAGTATCCTAAGAAAACAAAGATTTCTAAGCAGTCTTTTGGAAATATAGACAGATGTTATGTGGGATATGGCTTTAGGTCAGCAGAAGGGCAGGGGGCTTTAAAAGCTGTTTCCTCCATCATAAATAAATAGGCAAGAGGATAGACAACTCTATTAAGGGTCAATCATGTTTTAAATAAACCTGGGACATGTGGACCCAGAATAAGACAAAAGTTATGGGATATCTGAAACCTAGAAATACTGTATGTTGATTCTTACTTGTACAAACATAGGTACTCCATCCCATCCCTACCTATTCTCCAGGCCAATAGAGTGCAACTATTTTTTTCAGTTTTTCTTAATTTTGTATGTATGTAGGTATGTATATTTATATATATGTATATATAATTTTAATTTCATCTAATGTATTCTTAGTTTCTTAAAAATGAAAATACTAAACTATAATTTTAAAAATAATTTACTACAAACCTTTCATGGCTATTTGTGACTATCTTCTTTGCATCTTTTAGAAAACATACCCTGAAAAATCCACATCCATGTAAATCTAGCAGATTTACTAAGGTACTATGAGAGTATGATAAACATCCACTGACTGGTTATATTTTCAGGTTATTTCTGCCTCATTCTTACGCACCTTGATTGTTGAAGAATAATTTGTTGTTGCTGCCCTTAGAGTAAGAATTTTATCTTGAATTACTGAAAGAGAAAAATGACTTTCAAAAATAATGACACCTGGGCCAAATTCAAGAAAATGCTCACTATTTTTATATTATAAACATGCTTTTAAATTGTTTGTATCCCCTTCCTGACACCTTTTTAAAAACTACCATAGGACTTTTACATTCAACAAGTGGAACGAAGAATGTCACAGTTAAAGGGAGAAATTAATTCAGAAGAAAAACAAGCTCTGGAAGCAAAAATTGTTGAATTTAAGAAGTCTTTGGAAGAAAAAAAGTCTACATTTGACCTTTTGGAAACACAGATCAAGAAACTTCATGTAACTTAGCCAAAAGACTTTTTTATTTTTATCTTTTCAGTACTGATTACCCATTCTCTTTTAAGTCAACATGGCCCTAAGACTACTTTTCTCAGGGTAGTCTATAGTGACTGTTGGATGTAGTGTTACTATTGACTAAGCATTTACTCCATGATAAATACTGCATGACATGTCTCTACACTTTTATTTCACTTAAGATATTATTTATTACCTGTTTTACAGATTAAGTAATTTGTCCAGTTACACTGTCAGCACATGGAGAGGAGAGGTAGGGTTTGATCCCCGATCCATTTGACTTCAAAATACTTTTTTTTTCATTTTTTTTCAAAATACTCTTAAAGAGTACACTGTTTAGAACACTTTCTACCAGGCTAAATGTCTTAATTGTTCCTTAAGTCAGAAGTACAATCTGAAGAAAGCTGTTGTTCTTTCACGAGACATTTATTATTATTCCACAAATTGCTTAGAATATTTCCAATTACTCTACTCAGTCAGAAAGGTGATAGTACTCCTCATCTTTGGGAATTTTATTATGTTTATTGTAAAGCCTATGTTAAAGTTTACCTGGGAGTATGCTTTAGGGAGTGAGAGCTGGGACCAGGACAGGTGAAAACCTGGGAGGGCGTCAATGTTAGTTCTGACTGGAAAGACTAGTGATGAGTGTCCTCTAGTGGTTGTAAGTAGAATTTTCCTGACGCTTGGAAGGAAGGCGGCAAAAGATGAAAGGGAGATGTCATTTTTTTTTTAAAGTTTTAAGATGTCAAAAGTTTGGTTTGGAGTTGTTTATAATTTGAAGAAATTTTTATCTGTTTCTTTGGTTTACTATAAAAGAACACAAGCTTTGAGATCAGATAAAACTTGTTTTGAAATTCAAGGTTATACCACTATTGCTATGTATTTAAACTTTTACTCATTATTATATGGAAAAGATTTAATATTATTACAGGGCATTTGGGAACTAGAAACAATGTACACCTTAGCACAGTGCTTTTACTAGGTACTTCATACATAAGTAGTACTGTTTTTTGTTTGTTTGTTTGTTTTGGTACCGGGGATTGAACTCGGGACCTTGTGCTTATGAGGCAGGCATTGGAACCACTGAGCTATATCCCTGGCCCTAGTAGTACTGTTTTTATTTAGAACATGATTTTGATTTATAATTGACAGCTGAGAATAGTATTATATTTTAACTCTTTTGTTCCAAATGTAAACTTATGAAATTATATCTTTATACCAAATTTATTTCTCTTCTTACTATCTGGCTGAAATCTTAAAGTCTTGTTGATGCTTCAGAAAAATACACGCAGTGAGAAAGGCTGAGCAGCCTGTGGGGTGGGGAGTGCCAGTGTGCATGTGGTGTCTTGGAACTAGAAAGTCTTCATTTCGGAAGCAAGAGGGGAGTAAGAGCACAAACCTTATTCTGGTTTCTGAGTAGGAAAAGGGAAGCGATTTTATATAAAAGAAGAAAGTGGTATCTGGTATATCTGAGTAATTTGTGCATCTGATGGAATTTGATTTTATCAAATATTTTCTCTCTAGAAATATTTAATTATACAATAGCAGCTGGCATTTACACGGCACTTTGGTGTGTCAGGCATTGTTGTAAAAACTTTTTGATAATTTCTTTAATTCTCATGATGACCCAGGGAGGTAAGAACTGTTCTCATCTCCACTTTAGAGATGAAGAAACTGAGGAAGAGTAGGTTGCCCACAAGTATCACATGGGTTACATACAATTAAAGCCCTGTGGATCCAGAGTTCCAGAGGGAACCTGTGGATCCAGGTTCTATCTATGCTTTCTGTAATATTTTTACCATCTAGGACTTGAATAGAATCAAACATTCCAGAAAGGGAGTGGTGAACGCTATAATGAAATAAAATGTATGCTCTCATCTCATAAATGGTGAGCACTTAATAATTTAGGTTGAAGTGAAACCACATATATTCCCTAGAATTACTGAACTCAGACTAAACCTAAAATATCAATAGATAACAAAGTAAAAATGTTTCTCTGTGAGTATCCATCTGTATTATATTAGAGGCTTAGCATGATGAGAGATTAAAATATTACTATAAATAATGAAGAATATATAATTAAAACAAGATATGTTTATTATAGTATGTACTTAAATTGTTATTTAAAACATATTTTATGTATTTTTTTTCCTTTTAACAGAATGATCTTTACTTTATCAAGAAGTCGAACAGTAAAAATTGTGATGAAAAACAGTCCCTTTTGACCAAAATAAATGAATTAAACCTTTTTATCAACAGCTCAGAGAAAGAACTCAACAAAGCCAAAGTTTTTAAACAGGTGCTATAAAATTATATGCATATATTTTTAAAAGCCATATGTTTTCATGTTCATTGTAGAAAGTTTTAAAAGCAGTGAATAATGAGGAAGAAAAAGATCATGTGTCAAAGTCTATTATTTCTTTCTTTTAAAAATTTGGCTTTATATGTTTTATTTTAAAAAACTTTAATATACATGTTCCTAAAACATTAACTACTCTTTAAAAAATAACTCTTAAAGACTTTCTACAAGTATACTTCACAAAGTTATTACAATTTAAGCATTTTCTATCTTACTTGTTTGCATCCTTTGTATCCAGTGTTTTGGCACATATGTCATTGAAGAGTTGTTCAATAAATTCCTAACTGTATAATTATGGTTCAAAAAATGAATATTTTTGGTGTCTCAAAACTAATTTTAAGCCAAATTGCCCTCTAGACATTTGATTAATATATCTTGGTAGCAATGTATAAACATTCTATTTTATTTACTACCACTGACTCTGGATGTTTTAATTTACAAAAGCATTGCCAATTTAGTAGACAAATAATAGTATTGCATTGTTTAAATTGGTGACACTTGAAACATTTTGTTTAAAGATAAAATTTAAATTTATTTATTTATTTGGTACTGGGGATCATAACTTGGGACCTTGCGCTTGCAAGGCAGACAGCAGAACCACTGAGCTAAATCCCCAGCCCAAGGGGAAAGGAAAGAGAATGGAATCAATATGAGAAAATAAAAAAATGAAAACAAAGTCTTTTTAAATAGGGAGGGATGGAGGGGTTGAAGGGAAGGCAGGGGAATCGGGGAAAAATAAGAACCAAGAGAGATTATGTAAAGGTGGAAATTTCCAAGGATGAATGTAACTGTATTGTATACCTAAAATGTACCAATGAAATTAATTTAAAAAAGATAAAATTTAAAACATTTATGTTTAAATAGAATGTTTCTAACATTTTTCCATTATATTATGTTCCATAATTTTTCTTTTTGGATATCTAGTTTATATTCTTGGCCCATTTTTTTCCATTGAGAAAGTTGTATTTTCAATTGTTTTGTGAAATATTTTCATATTTAAAAATATTATCTCTTATAATCAACATTTTTCCTATTTAACTTTAAATTTTCAGTGTTTTTGTTAAAATTTTGTTAAAATCCTTTTGTTAAACATCAAGTCTTTAGGATTTTTTCACTTTATAATTTTTATGCTTAGAAGCTTCTAAAAATCAGTTTGCTATTTCTAGTAGTTGCATTGATTTAACTTTTATATTGTTTTTTCATCCACCTGGAATCTATTTTTGTTCATTTTAGATACAGGGATTTAATCTTTTCTCAACCTGAAAAGCTATGTTTATGAAATATTAAAATCTTATGTTCTGGAGTATTTGTTTCTATACTTTCTTTCTGAAAATTGATCAACTTGCTTACTCTTATGGCAATACTCATGACTGAATTGTTTTAAAATAAAAATATTTTTCCATATTATTTTATGAAATTTAGCTTATAAAAAGTTCATCTATATAACTTTATGTTTCCTGGATATTGTAAGTTTAAATTTTAAGAATAACTTTTTCCTTTTGTATTTTAGTAAAGCTTGAATTTAAAATTGAACTATAAAACATGATTTGGAATAGCCATTCTCTACTTCTTTAAAAGAAAAAATAGAATCATGACTAATTTAGATTTAGCCAATGGTCAAACTAGAAAAATGTTATATTTTCACATTTGACTTTTATAGCAATATAAATATTTTAATTTGGTACAAAGATGATTATTTCAATATTTGAAAATTTTCTTATGTTCATAGGATTTGATGATAGAGGATAATCTTTTAAAACTTGAGGTTAAACGTACTCGAGAAATGCTTCACAGTAAGGCAGAAGAAGTTCTTTCCCTGGAAAAAAGAAAACAGCAGTTACTTACAGCTATGGAAGAGCGAACCGAAGAAATTAAGGTGCACAAAATGATGCTTGCCTCACAAATAAGATATGTTGATCAAGAAAGGCAAAACATAAGGTAATTAACAGAGTTTTAAAACACTGTTGAAGAACTTTGAGAAAAAATGTTAAGGCTGATATTAGAGAACCTCTTTAAAAAAAAAGAGAAAATAGAACCTCTTGCTTCCTTTACCATCTGGATGCTTATTATTTTTTATTTATTTGAAAAGTCTTTTAATATAAGATATAGGGCATATTATAGCCATCAGTCTAGGTTCTTTCTTTTCTTTTTCCTTTGGCTGTTTCTTCAGTTTGTCCCTTTGATACTAAGATTGCTAGTCCACTTGGAATTGACTTTTGTATATGGTTTGTTATGTAAGGATCTACTAATGTTTTAGTTTTTATATATACCCATAGCTGCACTCACTGAAGGGGTTTTCTAGTAGGTATTTTCATATCTTTCATAAGATTATTCCTAGAGAATTTTTAAATGTTACTTTCAATGTTATTTTCCTTTAAAACATTTCATTTTTGGTCTGTTGCTCGTATAGACAAACATTGTACAGTTAATTTCTGTAAGTTTTGAACAATCTTGCTTAATCTGTAATTCTAACAATTGATCTGTAGATTTTAAATTTTGTAGATATTTCATCATATCATTGTAGAAGGATAATACTTTTCTTTCCAATTTTTATAGCTTCTTTTTCTTCCTTTACTGTACTTGCTAGACCTCCCATTCAACACTGAATAATGGTGATTATAGGTACTTTTGTGCCTGACCTCAAAGACAAAGCTTTGATTATGGCTGCACATGGATTGTTCTATCATTAAGTATAAATGTTACTGAGGTGTGGTGTGTTTTTTTCCCTATGCTGAGGATTTAACCCAAGGGCTTAAGGATATGCTGTACCACTAAGCTACATCTCCCAGCCTGTTTAAGATACCTTTTATCATATGAAGAGAGCTCCCATATTTTCTTTTTTTTTTTTTTTTGGTACCTGGGATGGAACTCAGGACCTTGCGCTTAAGAGGCAGGTGTGGTGCCACTGAGCTAAATCCCTGGTTCTCCCGTATTTTCTTTATTTTATGTTTTTCGAGACAGGGTCTCACTATGTAGTTCAGGCTATCCTTGAACTCACTATGTAGCCTGCTGGCCTTGAACTTGTGTTGATCCTCCTGCTTCAACCTCCTGAGTGCTGGGATTACAGGCATGCACCATGTCTAGCTCTTTCTCCCATATATTCTTATTTCTTGATAAGAGGTTGTTTTAATTTGTTTAGGGGAATATATGTTGACTTTTATTATATACATTTTTCTGTATTTCTTGCCATGAAGTAGCCCTATCTATTAATGTAATTAATTACATTGATTAGAGCCAGGTATGGCAGTACACACTTGTAATCCCAGCATTTGGGAGCCTGAGGCAGGAGGATCACTGCCAAATTCAAGGTCAACCTGAGCTACATAATAAGTTCAAGGCCAGTCTGAACTACATAGCCAGACTCTGTCTCAAAAAACAAAAAACAACAAAAATTACATTGACAGTTTTTCAAAGTTAAACCAAATTTACGTTCCTTGTATGCCACATTATCCTTTGTAATTTTGAATTTTGTCTAATATTTTAATGTAATTTTTGCATCTATGCTTATGTATATGTGACCCATAAGTCTCTCTGTTCTACTAACCTTATTAGATTACCAGGTTATTAAGGTTATGTATACTGTCATAAAATGACTTCTGTGTTTCTTATAGTTTTATATACTAAACTTACAAAAAAGTAGAATTATATCTTTATTGAATTTTCAAAGATCACATTAATAAAGCCATTGGGGAGCTGGAATTTTTCTCTGGGATAAGATTTTCAACCTTTGGTTCATTTTATTTATTGGTTGTAGAACAACCCAGATTTTGTATTTCTATTTGATTTAATTTTGGCAAATTATATTTTTTTCCATGGGAAATGTTCCATTTCATCCAATTCAAATTATTTCTATCAAGCTGTCTATAACATCATTTTATTATTTAGTAGTTATAATATTTATAGATATGACTGATTTTCATTCTTGATACTGGTTATTTGTTCCTTTTTTGAGTGGGATGAGTCTTACCAGAAGGTAATCAGATTTATCAGTTTTTAAAAATCTTATTGATCTTTTTTGTCAATCTCATTGTTTATTTACTTTCATTAATTTCTGACCTCATGTTTATGATTTTTGCCGTTTTGTGGGTTTTAAATGTTCCTTTTCTATTTCTTTGAGGTAAATATATAATTTATTAATCTTAAACTTTGAAGGATAAAAAATTTCCTCTAAGTGTTATTTTAGTAGCATCTCACAAATTTTGAAATTGCCATGTTTTGCCTTTCTTTCATTGTTTTAGGTGAAGTTTTATTAAATAGATAACTTTACTGAGGTATGATTCAGATACAATAAATGACATATATTTAAAGTGCATAATTGAAATGTATACCTGAGAAACTATCACCACAAGCAAGATAGTTAACACATCATGACCCCCCATAGCTTTCCTTGTGACCCATTGTAATTCCTCCCTCCAGTCTTTTCACATGTATTCCTCCTAAGCACCAAATGATCATTTTATCCATAGATCTTATTTTTAAAAATTATTAAGACAGAGTCTCATTATGTAGTTCAGGCTGGACTTGAACATACTATGTAGCCCAAGCTGGCCTTGAACTTGTGATGATTCTCCTGTATTAGTCTCCTGACTGCTGGGATTACAGGGGTTTGGCACCATGCCTGGATTATCCATAGAATTTAGACTGCATTTTCAAGAGTTTTATATCATGGAACCCATTAGTAAATATTCTTTTTTGGCTTCTTTCATTCAGCATAGTTATTTTGAGATTTATCCATGCTGCTTTTCATCAGAAGTTGCCACACTTTTGTAAGGGATAATAAATATTATGGTACTTTGCAGGCCTTTTGGTCTTTGTCTCCATTAGTCAACTCTACCACTGTAGAGTAAAAGCAGCCTTAGAAAATATGCAAATGAGCATGGCTGTGTTCCAATAAAACTTTACAGACACTGAGATTTTAATATAATTTTCATCTTTCATGAAATATACTTCCTTTTTCCCCAATAACTTAAAAAACTAAAAGCAACTCTTTGGATGTGAGCTGTAGAAAAACAAGTGGCAGGCAATTCATAATAGCTAAATCTTGGAAGCGCCCTGTATATCTATCAACAGATGAATGGATAAAATGTGGGATTCATACATAATGGAGTACTATTCTACCATAAAGAAGGATAAACTTAGGGCCGGGGATTTAGCTCAGTGGTTCCGCTGCCTGCCTTGCAAGCGCAAGGTCCCGAGTTTGATCCCGGGTACCAAAAAGAAAAAAAAAAAGGACAAACGAGTCATTTGTAGGAAAATGGATGCACTTTGAAACTATAATGTTAAGTGAAATAAATCAGACACAGGCTTCGATATTGCATGGTTTCTCTGATATGAGAAGCCCAAATATAAATGAAGAGCAAAATAAACGATAATAATAGGAAACAGGGAGATCTTTTGCAAATGGAAGGGGGGGGGCAAGAGATAAAGAGGAGAGGGAGAAGAGAAGGGAATGAAAATCCAATTAACATGTGTTATGTATGTGTACCCACTCCTTACAAGGAATATAATCATTATGTATTACAAACATGGACTAATAATAAAAAACCCAAAACAGGTAGCAGGCAGGATGATTTGCCTGTCCTGGCTTTTCATTACTGTTATTAGTATTCCATTGTGTGTGTTACCCAAATTTGTTTATTCATATACCTGATGATAATTGAACATTTGCATTGTTTCCAGTTTTTACCTATTATAAACAAAGCTGCTAGGAACATATGTATTTTTGGCATGATACATACTTTCCTTTTTCCTGGAAAAATACCTAGTAGAGGAATTTCTGGATCAAAGGGTAGGTCTATACAGTATTTGACTTTTCAAGAAGTATTAAGAAATTTCCATGAATTCAATCTATCTTTCCTGCCTTTCATTGGTTTAGTGAATTTCATTTCCCCATTTTTCCTCTTTAATTGTATGGAAGATATGCAATTAATTATTTTGTTGGTAATTTGTAAAGTCAAAAGGAAAATTATTTTCCTTCTTCTAAGAAAGATTTTGCACTTTTTACTTCTACTTTTTCTCTTCTCATATTTCATGTATTATTGAAAACACTGATTATATTCTTTGAGTTTACAGTACGCTTTAATGAGAAAGTCAATTTACCTTGTAGGGAACCTGGTTTTCGTTTTCTTTGTGGAAGCTTTGGGGTAGTCTTTTGGTGTTTTATAATTTATCTGTATGTGTTTTGATGTGTTGTCAGTTTTCAAGTTTCGCTTTGGGTCAGGTGAATTATTTTTGTATTACAGTACTTTTTTCTCATCTGCAGTCTGTATGTTCTCAATTGTTGCTCATTTTTAGATGTTGGCCTTTCCAGATCTGTCCTCTTGGTTTTAAAATTTTTCTCATTTTTATTCTTTCTCAAAAAATTTAATTTTTTCTTCATCCCCCTCTCTTCTGGCTAGCTTCCCTCATCTTTTGCTGTCTCTCCAGATTACTAATTGAATCTTTATTCTTCTTTGCTATTGAAAAGAACTCATTTCCAAACACTGTTGTTATTTCATTGGCCTTTTTGTTGTTGTTTTGTAGCAGCTCATCTTGTTTTATGGAAATCCTTGGAGCTAGTATCCTGACTTTTTAGAGAATACTAATTAGAATACTTTGAAAGTTCTCTTCTATGCATTACCAGATTCTCTCAAGATCTATTGTGTTCATTTTATTCTTTTAATTCATCTTGTTAGCATTTCATAAATATTTGATGGTCCTTGGTTTTCTGTGAATATTGATAAATGCTTAATACATAATCAGCAGATATTGGTTTAACTAGCAGCTAAAGGTTTTCTCTGCAATTAAGTCAATCTCTTCAACAGATCTCCTCCTTAAATGGTAGCCTTATTTAAGCTCTGAGTTAGTTTGTCCTTAAGCACAGATAATTATTAGGCAGGGTTAGGACTTCCATGGTCACAAAAAGTTAAGTGCTTATTTTGAGTGATGAAGACTATTTCACTGGTAAATGGAACATCTGTTCATTTACTTACATATTATGGAAATCTGGAATTACTTCATGTTCTTTTTTACTTCTCTAATTCTAACATATATATTAGAAACTATGCTAATTTTTTGATTATCATTGGAGCAGAAACCATTACTGTCAAAACCACTTTTCTAATAGTTGGGTTGCCTAAGCTTGAGGTTTCTCAGTTGTGACACAAACCCCACTGTACTTGTATAGCATCCAGTTGAGCCCTTTCTTGTAGAGAGTTAAGGGGGAACCAATGGAAATACAAAGTTCATGTTACTCGCTGGGCCATGAATTATAAAGTCCTTTGCTTATGCCACATTAAAATCTCTTTCTGCCAGCATCCATGAAACTGTGGCATACTCGTTCAGCTTTCAAATAAGGTCAAATGTCAAACCCTCCACAGTGAATTAACTAAATTAAAAAGCACAACACATGTAACCTGTCTAAATTCAATAGTAACACAAATCCAAATATTTTCAATAAGAACACATTAGTCTTTTAATTATTTTTGTTTTTTCATATTAGTGGGGAGTTCCATGAACGACTCAGTAAAATTGATAAGCTGAAAAATAGATATGAAATTCTTACTGTTGTTATGCTGCCTCCTGAAGGTGAAGAGGAGAAAACACAGGCCTATTATGTAATAAAGGTAATGTTCATTGATTTATATTAGTATAAAGTATCCTTTCTTTGTTCATTTATAGTTATCTTCTAGATTTAAAAGAACCATACTGAAAAATTCTCCAAAATACTGCAGTTATTCACTTTATTAGAGCCATTGACTATTGCACTTAAGGATCAAAACCCTCGTTGTTGGATGGGGATACTAAGGCACTATCTGTTTTATGTGCCTCCAGTCCATGAGGTCAAAGCACTGCCCTCTGGTTTCCAAGATCTATTGCTAACTTCCTCAAAACTCTTTCACCCCATTGTAGGTTATCTACTCAACCATTCTGTCTTAACACTTTTTTTTTTTAATCATTTAAATCATGTCATTTTCTCTCATTTAGTCAAGACTCATAATGTTTTGTTCTAAGACTGTCACTTTGGGCACCTTCAGAATGCATCTGACAACCGGTTCAACATGAAGGTTTTTCACTATAGCCAGCTGCTTCCATGCCATGCCCAGGACATTATCATCCTCTGGAGTTACATCACTCTGAATCTTAAACTCCAGTTTACCGCTGTAGTCCTGGTAAGCAGCTGTCCAGAGACAAAGAGGGCTGGCTGCTCTTTGCTTTCTTATTATACAGGAGACATATCAGATGAAACTGCATTCTGACGTTTGAGAGTTTTCTGCCATCCTATGGTTACCTTTACCTGAAAACCCATTAGAGGAAATCCAGAAGTGATAAGGAATTGGATGTAATTTTCCCTCTGAATACTGCATTATTCACTTTCCCATGAAAAATAACTAAGTAGGTGTGATTTCTTTTATAAAATGTCTAGGGAATTACTCAACACAAGTGTCTTTGTACCACACGAGTGGAGCGGGGAGATCTCTCAATTTATACTTTCGGAAAATGGTCCTTGTGGATACTCTGCAGGTTCTATGTATCCCTTAAGCTCCAAAGTTTTCTTGTATGGTCTTTCTTCAGGATTGCCCCTAACACATACACTAAGTTGGAGTGTTTAGCACTTTTACTTCTGGAAATTCTGCCTAACTTATGGGGAATCAGTTCTCTCCAAGCTTTCTTGTCATCAGCTTAAGTGAAATTTCTCATCTTATGCTCAGCAGTTTAAGTCAAGATGAATGTTCTGACAAGGCTGGTTCATTCAGAGGCCAAGAGGGAGAATGTTTTATGTCTCTCCTATTTTCTGGTGGTTTACCAGCAGTCTTTGGTACTTCTTGGCTTGTAGGTATGCCACCCTGATGTCTTCACCTTCACTTGTTCTTCTTGTCACCAGTCTTTCCTCAGTACACATCCATGTCAATTTCCCATTTTCGCCAGATATCAGTTACACTGGATTAAGGGCCACCCTAGTGAGTTCATCTGCAAAGATCTTATTTCCAAGTAAGGTCACAATGAGGTACTCAAGGTTAGGATTTCAGTTTATCTTTTTTTCATGGACATATTTCAACTCATAGTCTGATTAGGGGTCTTGCAGTAGTCTGTGGCCTATGGGGCATACATATATGGCTTTTAGTTTTAATATCTTATAGTATTCTCTTTTTTAACAGCTAGACTGAAAAATATAATTAACCAATGATGAACTGGCATATTTCAAATCTTATTTCCAAGTTCCTCTTAACTCTTATAGGGATCTAATTCTGACTCTAATGTAGAGCAACTCTCCAGTTAAGGTACTTGAAAATGCTTTGAAATGTTAAAACGTTATTTAAAAGTTTTCCAAATATCAAATTCTCTAGGCCAAAATATACATTTAATAATCTGATTTTACCAGCTGATAGAATAACTTTAGAACTCCAAGGTATACTATGGAATTAGATTAGGAATTATAGGATGAACAAATTCAATTTCTTCAACTGAAAAATGAAGAACGGAGCTCAAAAGGGAAGTGAGTTACTGTGACTCAATTCATGGGTAGTCAAGTCACGACTAAAACCTGAATGTTCTGATTCAATCCCACCCACTCCCCACTACACTATATTCCAAGTGAAATGGTTGCCACATCTACACTTAAAGAAATTAGATATAACATATCTAGCAACTTTTTTGTTTTTGCTAAGCTTTCAACACATAAAAGTTGAACATATGGGGCACTATGTGATGTTCTCATACATGTGTACAATGCTAACACATAAGAGCAAGCACCTCTTTTAAAATTAGTAAGCATCTCTTTCCTCAAATATTTATCCTTTTTGGCTTTTACTATGTAGTATGTTACAAAAGTATGTATAATTCATATTTTGAAAAGTAATAGTGAAAATGTTAAAAACTGAAATGTTACTTATAAAACATCTTTCTCATTTACGACATTCTGGTTTAAATACGTACCTAGGGACTGACTTAAACAATTAGTTGATTTTGACTAAATATCGATTTTCTGATTTGTGTTTAGTACTGGGAGCTGATGCCAGGTAGCTTGAGCTACATCCTCAGCCCATTTTTATTTGAGGTAGGGTATTGATAAATTGTCCACGCTGGCCTCGAACTTGCAATCCTCCTGCTCTAGCAAGGGAAAAAGTAGTGTCTGCTCAATAGTGGTGAGAATTTCAACAGAAATAGTATTCATTTCCAGTTAACATCAGAAAAGGCCTGTCAATTGTCCTCTCCATTGCCCAGGCAATGTCCTAGAACTTGTGCCATCATGCCCAGCTTTATGTCATTTTTTTCATACAGATGCATGCTACTTCTGTCAACCTCTAATCTGAGAAATTCTTTGAAAGTGTTTGGAAGAACTCTAGAAAGCCTAGCCCAGTGAGCTACCTTGATAAAAAGTCACTGAGTACTGTATGTCAACCTCACAGAAGAAACTGGTTTTGGGACTTCCAAGTTTTCTAGTTACATTTATCACAATGATCTTTTTTTTTTACTTTACAAAATTCTTTAAAATTGTGACAATACACCGGAAATTATTATTTTCCACCAAACACCTTTTTCACTTTTTACTTCACTCCAAGATTTGACATAGTAGTATTTCTGAATTTTCAGGCTTAAAACATTCTAATTTAATACCTACTGTCAAACCCCTTACTCTAGTTAACCCTTTTTCTCTTTTCAGTAAATTTCATACTGCTTCACTTTTTGGCAACTGTTTGCTAGTTCTATGTAAGTTTTGGTTAATTACTACATTTCCATCAGTTTTTGTATCCTATGTATCACATTTTGAAGGCCTGAGGATTTGGTCTTCTACTCTAAAGCAAGTAAAAGAAACAAATGCCTGGGAACATATGCAGGCCCTAAAGTAAACTGACACTGTTTTGAGTTTATTGTCTGCTTTAAAGACAGACATTTCCCCTATGATAAATAACTTTACTTCTGTTCTTCATAGGCTGCTCAAGAAAAAGAAGAACTTCAAAGGGAAGGTGACAGTTTGGATGCTAAGATTAACAAAGCTGAAAAAGAAATCTATGCTCTAGGAAATACCTTGCAAGTCCTGAACAGCTGCAACAGAAATTACAAACATTCTTTTAAAAAAGTGACTCCATCTAGTATGTAGGAATTTAAAAATAAATAAATAAATAAATAAATAAATAAATAAATATATAACAAAAGCTGATACTTAAGAAGAGGAACACTATGAGGCATGGATAAAAAAAGTGTACCATGTTTCATTGGGTCAGAAAAATCAACTACCCTTCTCCTTCCCCTTTGAGTAATTGGTCTGCTAACGTGTTAAATTATTAGTGCTACTGGTATGTGGTGTATCACTTCTCTGGGAACTAATTTTACACCTGAAAAAAAAAAGCATGTTGTTGCTGTATATTAACCAAAGAAATGGCTACTACATTCCCAAATGGTTTTTCTTCAGGTAGAAGGAATTTAACCTTTCATAACAAAATACTGTTACAAGTTGAGTGTATATAATACTTTTAAGATTCTTGCTATATAGTATATTGAAAATTCAAATTAAAAATTCTTTGAATTCTAGGTGATGAGTATCAGCTAAAAATTCAACTAGAAGAACAAAGAAGAGCTGCTGATGAAAAATACAGATATAAACAGAGACAAATTAGAGAACTTCAAGAAGACATCCAGGTAAATTCTATATGCTCTTTAGAAATAAACACTTGATAAAAACCAATTATCATTATCAATACTTCTAGTCTCTTAGTCCTCCACAAAGAAGACAGTTACTTAGAGCCTCTTTAGGGAGACTAAGAGATACAAGTCTTAATTTAAAGACTCAACACTTATCTCATTTAAACAAATGACGGCAGTATTAGGTAAATCAGTTAAAATCCCAGTGTTAGGAACTGACAGTTATTAGTTGATGGATTACAGCTAGCAAATTATCTATTCACCAATTTAATATCTATTTATTGGACTTTTATTCCTTAAAGATCATATTAAGACTGCTCCTTACAGTTTAAAAGATAAAAATAATCTAAAGGAAATCATGGAAAGACAAAAAACACGCTTTGTAAGCAGGCCCTAACTGTATAAACTTTTTTTAACAAAGAAAGCTGAAAACAGATGATATAAATTGTTAACCTGAAAAATGTATTTCAATAATCATTTATATTATTTTTTCTAAGTACCATTAAAATACTTTTTAGTGGAATTATATACAAAACTTAATTCACAAGACTGACACGTTTATCCTCCAAATGTATAAATGTGCATTATATACAAAAATAAATGAGTTATATGAATACTTGACAATTGGCAAATAATAAGTCAGCTTTTTATTCTAATCAGTATGTTAAAATTTTTCTGCAGAGCATGGAAAACACTTTACAACTTACAGAACATTTAGCAAATAATGTCAAAGAAAAACTATCAGAGAAACAAGCTTTTGCATCTCAAGTACATAGAGAAACTGAAGAGCAGAAGCCAAAATTAGAGAGAGTGACTAAACAGGTATAGTTATCTTTCTAAACTGACTCATATTTACATTTTTTAAGTCTTAAATGGTAAACTCAGATCCTTTATCCTTAAAAATTCTTGAAAAATGTTTATATCATGGTTTATTTTAACCACCAGTGTGCAAAACTCACAAAAGATATCCGTCTTTTGAAACAAACAAAAGATGAAACACCAGAAGAACAAGACATTAAAGTCCGTGAAGTGAAGCAATTTCAAAAGGTCATTGATGAAATGTTAGTTGATTGTATAAAAGAAAATGCTGCAATCCGTTTTATCCTTCAAACATATTTTAAGCAGGTAATGTAATACCATCTTTATTTTTTATTTCTGGTGCTAGGAATTGAACTTAGGGCCTTGTGAATTTTAGGCCAAGTGCTCTGCCACTGAGCTACACATCCCCAGCCTTAATTTCTTAAACAGTTTAAAAAAAAATTTTATGATGTTAATAGTAAAGTAAAATCTAATTAAAAATATTTTTTTCCTAAATGCAGTAGGTCTAATGATTATTGTTAAATATTTTTAACAGAATGGGTTAGAGCTACCAATAGCTAGTAGTAAAGAGAGCCACCAGAGTTCTACATCTTCACAGGCCTCACTGGTATCACCAAGGTAAGTGGAAGGTTAACAAAATCTTTTAAAATTATAAAATGGCAACACAGATATATAGATATGGAGAGTATAATTTTTGTGACTAAAGCCAAATTTGTGAAATTTTACATAGTCAGGGTTTTATATTTTGCTAAAAAGGAAGCTATTTTTTCCTTCTGCAAGTGAATGTTAGCAGAATTCTGTCATTAGGGATGCTTAATCAACACTCATGCATTACTGGCAAAACAAAACTTATTAATAATGATCCTGATTCTAGAATTTCCAAGCTGCTACTTAATACCTTTCATTAGGTCCACAGAGAAATTTTAGAGGAAAAGAGGAGGTCCTAAAAAAAGTGCTTAAGTATTAAAAACTGTTTCTACATAAAAATATTAAATAGCTAAACTTCTCCATACTTTTATAAAATATATTTTTAAAATATTTTAGTTGTATGCCTAGTTATTTTCTAAACAATCCCACCATTTTATCCCTGCCAACACAGCTCACTTTCCTCTTCAGCTTAAATTACATATTATTTTAATTACTCCTGCAAACTTAGTGCTTCCAACTCTTAAGAAACTGCTGAGTTGAAAATATTTTTCTCACAGAAACATAATGAACTACTTATTGAAATTATGTTCCTATTTCCTTTTTTAAAATTATTTTTTGATATTAATATCATACTTAAAAAATTTATTAACGCTATTAATATGTACATTTTTCTCTCAGAATTATGGGATTTTTTTTTCAATGAGGGGGTCTATATCAAATATAAATTTGCATTACATTTATGATTTTTTTTTTTTCTTTCCTAGGTCATCTAGGAGTAGCATAAATACTTCTGCTTCTCAGGCTTCGATTAAAGTATTAGAGCTCAACTTCCCAGACTCTTCACCAGTAGGCAGTAATTCTAGGCCAATCAGAGCTAGCAGTAGTTCTAGTAATTTGAAAAGCAACAAGAGTGGCAAATAAACATCCGAAACTTTTTTGAACAAGTTTTAAACACAAAAACAAAAATCTCCTAATTGTAAGTTTGATACAATTTTTGAGTTCCATATATAATGGTATAGAGGCCTACTGAAGCAGTGTTAGAAATACAAGATGACCCAAGTTTATCCAGTAGAAAAATGTAAAAGCTGTTGTTTTTAAAGGGAACTTTCTTAGTTTCCTACTATTTTATTCTTGGAGAGGGAAAACAATAGCAGATTCTTAATAAGGATGCATGTTATGCAAGAATGGGGCAAATAGTGTTTTTCACTGCAATTCCAATGTTTGTAGTATTAGAATACACTACAAACATCTAAGCTAACAGAATCTTTTAGGAATAAATTTCTAGAGATTCACTGTATATCACAGTAAGAAAATTTGCATTTATCTTACAAGATCTTCAAATTAGGCTTTTTTTTTTGGTACTGGGGATCGAACTCGGGACCTTGTGCTTGCAAGGCAGACACTGGAACCACTGGGCTAAATCCCCAAATCCCCGGCCCAGGCTTTCTTTATTCATAGAAGTTTATTTCCCAGACTTTTTTGGGGGGGAAAAAAATCTCTTAAAGGCGGTTCCTTCTTTTGGTATAATTTGTAAGTAAAAGACAGTATCAGCAACCCCCAAAGAAAACTGGTAAGAGAAATGCTGTGTATTAGTAGAAAAATGCACCTTGTATTTCTAAGGATTATTCTACTCTGCCGTTGAAAGAAATGAAACACATTAAAGATTTTGCTTTTAAAACAAGCCAACCAAGCATAAGTACTTTTTTGAAACTTCCACAATTTAAAGAAAGCTAGCTATGCCATTAGAATTTTATAGATTTACACTGGAGATGGACCATCAGATTTAGTTAGTTTTTTCAGTTAATGCTTTGTACTTAGCACATTGAACTTTTAGAATGACGTATTATACAAATGGATTTCAAATAAATGTACTGGAATTCATGTATGTAAATAAGCACATTCTTCAAATCTTGAAAAAAAATTCAGCACCACTGTGACTGTCTTAAACCATTATTCACAGATCCTTCTCAAAAGCAGTAATGTTAGTGAATCTGATTCTCCTGATTTCTTCATTTTAGAAATAGCTTAGAAAATACAGTAGTTAAATCCAAAGATTAAGATGAGTAAAAAGCTGAATTTTTGGCTAAAGCATTGCATGAGATTTATTTAGAAGATCTAAAAACTGATGGTATTATACAGTCACTTTGTTTATCCAAGTTATTTTCAATTGTGTAACAGTTTGTAAATTACCTGGATTTGAAACATTAAATGATTCTATGAAGGCAGGAGGCATGTCTTATTACTAGCTTTCTAACTTTGTTCAGTTACTTCTCTATACTTTTTTCCTTTTGTGATACAGAAAATAGTAGCAATTATGTACAAGTTTATTGAAACTGGATAATATAAATGTACAGGGCTTGAAACATGGTAATTACACTACAACTAGATCTTCTATCTACTGAATCACTATCTAGAGCCTAGCACAGTATTTGTGGAATGGTTAGGTTCTTAGGCTAGCATACAAGTTTACGTTTAATCCTTCAATAAAATAAGTTCTAACATAATACTAATTATGGCAAAAGACAACAACAATCCCTCTGTCTCCAAATCTGATCCTAACACCCAAAAGTCACTCTTCTTCTAACTTATGGAAACCAAGACACAGACTGCCTAAGTATGTTCATACTTATGACATACTGATACTGAGAAAAATTATTGAAGATGTCACTATGGATTTTTGACAATTTAATTCCCAATAATTTTTTTTGCTGTGGTATCTTTTTCCTAAACATATCCTTAGACACTGGTTTGTAGGTTCTGCTTCAATTTGTTATGTCTCAAGAAAGAGACCCTAGAAACAAGGAATTTTTAAATTCAAGCAACCTAAAGGATAAGGCACTATCTTAACATTGAGGTAAAACAGTATGTGTAAAACTGTAAGCTGTGCTAGGGATTCTCAAGTGTCAAGGGGCTATGGCAGGAGGTAGTTTCTACTTTTTGAAAACCTCATTATGGCCAGGTCCAGTAGCACATACCTGCAATTCCAGCTACCTCGGAGGCTGAGGCAGGAGGATTGTCAAGTTTGAGGCCAACTTGGGCTACATAGTGAGACTATCTCAAGAAAATAAAGGGGGTGGGGAGATGTAGCTCAATGGTAGAATGCTTGTCTAGCATGTGAGAGGGCCTGGGTTCAATTGATCCCCAGTACTTCAAAACACAACACAAACCCCATTATGTCGAACTGTGTAGGGATGACAGAACTATTAATACAGAGAACACTGAGTTTGTTTCAAAGACTAGTGCATGAGTAACTAGCCTATTCCCACTGCCATTATTTATGTTCTTAACAAGGGTTTCTTTTTCCTGTTCCACTGCAAAACAAATTTCAGATTTTTCCCATTAGCCTCACATCTCAAGAATTTGAAGGATACAAAAAGTATATACCACTATTGAAGGTTCGATATTTTACTGGTGGCAAGAAGCAAAACAGAATAAGGAACTGGTCTCTTCATCATTCTTACTTGGACCTTTGTAGATGGATACCCATCTATACCTATACCCATCCTGTGTCATCATAAATGATGGAACTAAAATTCCACTGCCATTTACAACTTTTAGAATTTTAAATTATGGAGATTCTAAAAAGCATCACAATCCCAATAGTTATACTTCTTATCAATAGCTCCCAAAGAAATTACTATTTTCAGTAATTTTGGGGGGATTCTGAAAATTCAAGTCCTTCCTTCTTTAGCTCAAGCTGTTGAAATTTATTCTTAGTAAGATCAAGTTCTGGTTGGCCTACTCTTCTATTTAGATCTTGAGAAAGGAGGCAGTAAGGGAGGTGAGGTGCTAAGAAGGAAGAAAAGTAAAAATGCAGGCCAGCTGTGGGCTATTTAAAAACATGCCTAGAGATTTTTCAGCAGAACATTTGCAATATTAGGACAGTTTCCTAAATTTCTTTCCCCAGAGGAATAACAAGCTTTACAAGTGTGGTTCTCTATCACTGCTATTTTTGTTAAAAGGATTAGTTTCTGTTCTGATCTGCTCTTGTCTAGAATACAGTCTCTAAGGCCCTTACCAGTGCTTAAGGTTAAATTTCTTATTGCCAATGGTAACAGTAAGTTAATAAGTTAATAAAAAATAATGGATAAGTAAGCAAAATAGGCCCTAATCAACTTTCCTGGTCTTATTGGAAGGCATTTGGTAAGTTAGGTAAAAGCCAATGAATGTTCACAGACCAATTTTAATTAAATTAGGCTTTTTAGAGGCAAATTAATAGATATAATCTACCATTTTAAAACTCTGCCCCCCAAAATAATTAAAGAAATGATATAAAATAGTACTTGAGACATTAAAACATACCCTTTCAAAACCCGAAGGCTTTTAATGTAACAGAAAAGAGTAATTTTTGATGAAATGATCCAAGCATTTAATGTGCAAATTTAACTTTCAGCCAAACAGCAAGATAGGATGGGCCCAGGAATTTGCATACACCATAATACAGTGAAGCAACAATGTTTTCAGAGAATTACACTTGATCTTAGCCAAAAGACCGAGAAAGGATCAGAGCATTACCTTTAGGTAAAGAAATTTAAATTGTCACACTAAGAGATACATTGTACATAAACATACCCATGGAAAGACTAAAACTTAACTTGTGACAAAGGGACCTACAACTGAAACAAATTTGAGATAAGCTTTCTGTAATCTCTACAAATAATTTTAGAAGCAGATATTTCTGCATCAGACTGTTATGATTAAAATACACTAAAATATTTATGAGCAATGCTTAGCAAAATGGTACAGATTTCCTTGGCATTATCAGTTTTTTGGCTTACTTCCTTTTTCTTTCTCAAATTCAGCTATCTGATTAAATATGTTGAGTAAATTTTGAGGTAAATTTTTTTTAACTTTGCTCTCTGATTGCTCTTTACTAGCTAATCCATCTGGAACTTGTGTTTTGTTATCTTCCCTAGAACTGTCCTCTCTTTCATAATCTCCTTGATTGATATTTAATCGGTACTTTTGCTCATGTCTACCCAAATCACGTGATCCAGAATAAGTGTATTTCTTGTGTTTTTCAACTGACTTCCAAGAGTGGTCTGAACTGGCTGGTGAAGTGGAATACCTCATGGAAGCTGGCTCCCACTTTCTATAATGCTCTTTTCTTCCCTCTGTGTCTTTTTCAAATCTCCTATAACCATATATTTTGTCCTCTGAATTCCTACAGAAGGAATCTGAGGAATTTCTTCTACTGGAAAAATGTCTTTCTGATTTATATGGCTTTTCTACTTTGCTACCACCTGGCTGGGGTTTATAGCTATTATAAAAATCTCTTGGATCTTCAGACCTACCTCCAAAATCATCCGGTATTTCAACTGAAGATGAAGAGAGAGAGCATCTATCTTTGTCTTTTACCTGTGTCTTTGGATACTGTAACTTATCCTGCTTTTCCAGTAGTTTTTCCACTTCTTGTTTTTGATTAAGAAAAGACGCTGAAGTATTAGCTGGAACTGGGTAGCACTCATCTTTCCTATTCTGATCTACCTGACTTGAGGATGCCCTAGATGCATGCCTTTTGGAACTGTGAGAAGACTCTGAACGGGTCCTCTTATGTTTCTTATGCCTTTTGTGATCAGAAGAGGAAGAGGATGAGGAAGAAGAAACAGATTCATCATCAGATGAAACACTTGAAGAGGAAGACGATGATTTTCTTCTTTTCTTCTTTAACCTAAAAAAATATAGTTAACTCATCAGGTATGTGAAATACAAAAATGTTACTAATATCCATAAAGATCTGGATCCTATTTGTTTTTCCTTAAAGATTTCCTACAAGCTGTAGCTTACACAATAAATAATATATGAGAAATGATATAATGATCTCAGTTACTACAAAATCCAATTTTACCATCAAGCATGACTTTTGGGAAAAATACTTGTGCCCAGGGTGTCACTGTGAGCAAATCCGTCATTTCTGAAAGACACAGCGACATTTCTAATATTAAAAACTTAAGACTAAATAAACCCTAAAGGAAAAAATTTGAAGTTTTATATCTGACTACCTCTAGTTTCATTCAGTTTTTGTGGTGTTGTCTTGTGCATGGTAGGATGTTTAATTGTATCTTGGACCTCTATGCATCCCACCAATTATGACAACCAAAGATATCTCCAGACACTGCCAAATATTATTTAGGGAACAAACCACCCCTGGTTGAGAATCACTGCTGCACATCTAAAACACTTCTAACATACAGATAATTAAAATAACTTATACTGTATTTTAATTCTAAGATTCTAATTTCTTTGCAGAATTCTAGTCTTACATTTCAATTTGCTTAATATTTTTTATAGAAAACCATATGGAACGCATGCTTGCCGAGAATTCTTAACAGATATCACTTCAAACCTTTTTTTTTTACTTACTTTATTTCCATATGACACTTTGGGTTCAACTCAGTAGTTGCTTATGTTAAAAATACTGAATATTATAGTTTACCTTTTCTCCTCTTTTAAGAGCTTACGCAACTTTTCTGCACTCGTTTCTATTTTCTTTGTTTTCTGCTTTTCTTCCTTTTCAGCTTGTTTTTCTCTTAATTCCAAAGATTTCTTTTAGAACCCAGATATCAGAAAAACCACACATTAAAAATAGAATATACAAAACCCAGTATTTAAGAGACCACCCCAAATCAGAAGCCCAATTTAGTATGACCAAATCACCATAAAGCCAGCATTAAGGATGTATTTTGAACATAAGAAAATTAATTATACAGATGTTTGGCATTAATCATTAGAATGGCCAGAACAGTATTGAGGACCATATTGCAGTTGGTATCCCATGAAAAGAGGGGAAGCCATTGCAGTAGTACCAATGACCCAGGGTGCAAAAAAAGATAAAAAATAAAACATGAAAAATTATTTTTAAAAATTGAAAAATTTAAAAAGGACATAAAGTTTACAAATAAAATTCAAATAAAGACATTCCATTAAGATGAATTGGGGGAGATTGGGGACACCATGTTCAAATACAAACCATTTTAAATATAGCACAGCCCAGTTGGATGCATGATTACATAAGAAATCATTTTCCAGTTTGTGGATGGGGATGAGCAGCACCAGATGTCACAGACAGAGCAGCAATGGTCCAATTCAGAAGAAAATGCATGAGAAAACATCATCATCAGTATTACAGGAAAAGGTATATTAAATGTCTCAAAAAGGCTTTCATTATTAGCTCAATTATAGTAGCAACAGTGATAATTTATAACTACAGTACTAGGTAGGCTCACTACAAAGTACAGTTCTCAAAACCACATATTGCATTTAGGAATTTTCCCAGTTATTTTTCAGTACAAACAAGTAAAAAAGAAGCAGCACTATAAAATAATGTCAAACTCAATTCAGAAAACTATACTTAAAAAGAAACTTTCATAATGCTTAACTTAGAAAATCTAGAATATTTTTCCCTAGAAGAAAATTTATTTTGGCATTAATTTTAAATACTGTAATTTCTAAGAGGAAATAAAGAATCACCTGCATATATTTATGAAGTTTCTGCAAGGCATCCTCTGCATCTTTAAAAGTCTCATCCAAAGCCAAAGCTTTCTTATAGTAGCTTTCAGCATTTAAAAACTTCTCTTCTTCTTCTAACCTGAGTTTGATAGGAAGGTTTAGCACTTTTGTAAAAATAACAAAAGTATCCAAATACATATGTAGGCCAGAGGCTTGGACAGAATGTATTAGGGAAAAGCCATGATTAACAAATTATTTTCCAAAATGAACACTACCTAAATCATATGCTTCTTACTGTAATTTATATGGTAAACAGATCACATACAATAAATGAAAATCCATTACTATTAACTAGATAATACTAGCACACGTTTTGTAGAAATATACAAAAACACATGTTAAACTGATACCTGCAAATTTAGTACAATCTTGAGTGTTAGCAAAGAACTATATAGGCTGGTTTTTCCTAGTACTTTATGAAATTTTTTTCTTTCTACACAATTTTTTTCAAAAAATTCCATTGTTAAAAGTTCTTGGGAAATAAACAGACACACATACTCCATAACCAATTTGTAGATATAAAGCTCACAAATACATGCTACAGAAAAATAAAATTTGAAAAGTATAGACGGAGAGAAGTGAAAGGACTCTGTAAAATGCTTTTAGTCACATAAAGAAAAAGTAATGAAACAAACAAGTGGGATTAGTTTTGTATTGGCAGACTGGATGTAGGAAGATGAGACAGGTGGTTAATACAGCCAGGGAATTAGCTCAGTGCTGCCTGCCTCTCAAGCTCAAGGTTCTGAGTTTGATCCCGGTACCAAAAAAAGGAAAAAAGAGATGGCTAATACTTCTGGCTTGGATAATTTGTTGATGCTCCTTCAGATAATCATCAGTGCACAGGTAATAAAACAACTACATCTCAGTAGGTACTAGCTATCTACCTACTGAGAAAGTAAACCACTGGTTCAATCACTATTGAGAAATTCATATAAGTTAAAAACAAGTACGCAAAATTTCATTAATTTGGAATTTGTGATGATTCAAACTAGAATTATCATCCAAATAGAAATTAGTCAAATTCATGAAACAGAAAAGAGATGATCTATTAAAAAAATTAATAGTAGAATCATACTATTAATCATGAACTGGGATTTTAATTATTAAATTAGGCTGTTACCAAATTATTTATGTTTAAAGTATTACATTTCTTTGAAATAATCTATAGATTGCACTAGTTTATTATTCACTAAATATTTATAATACAACTACTACACCAAGCATTATTTCAGTAATTATGTTTCAATGATTTGTTGTACCATTTACTCTGAATCTGTGGGTTTTAATAGACAGTCGTAAGCCAAATACTGCACCAAAATCTTATTCACAATTAACTACAGAACATTCAACTCGTATTTCTGACACTATACTACTAGAACAATGAAATGAATTAGAAGTTAGAAGTAGAATGAAATGATTTAGAAGTTTAACTTCTAGTACATGTACTGAAAAAAAAAAAATTACCTAATTTCTTGTATTTCCCATTTATAATTCTATGTAGTGAGAATAGGTATTTCAAGCAGTGAACTTGGGACATCCCTATCTCCAGTTATAAAAAAATCTCAGTAATATGATAGGAAAAAGTGATTGGAAAAATTTAAAAGGATATTTTTAAAAATTTCCAATCAAAATTGAAAAGAAGTATTGTGAATTGAGGGAGCTACAGATGCTATTTCCTTAAAATTCAAGCTTTCATAGTAATGGGTTGAATATGAGATTAACAAAATCCGACACTTACTGCCCTCCTCTTTCTACAAGAGTCTGGCAGAGGTATTTTCTTGCATTCCTGTGAGTTGAGCAGTTTTCTAATGCAAGTTCAAAATCTTCTATTGCTTTGTTCAGACTTCCTTTGGTTGCATACCTAGAGACATTAAATAAAATTAGAGAAATTTAATCCTGTGAGCTATTTATAAATCTTTTTCACATTTACTTTGCAAGCAATCTTTAAAATCTGTAATTCACTTACAATGCTCCACGAGCTACCAAAGCTTCCACATTTTGTTTGTCTATTTCCAGAGCTTTATTGTATTCATTCATAGCATCCACATGACGCCCAACCTTAAAATAATCAACTCCAATCTTTACACTTTAAAAAAGAATATATAAAGCATCATAAACATTTTAAAAAATAAAAATTAATATGAATACATTTTAAAGGCAAATGTCTTCAAATGTGGAAAACATTTAGTTTTCAAAAATACTTTCAATATATCTAAGAAGCACTATGCGTTTGAATATTTTCATAACAAATACTTATAAAACCCAGGTATTAATGATTCTTTTTGAAAAAAAAAAGAAAATCCTGAATAAAATTTAGGTCTGTTAAGTTTACAACATAATACCAATGTAATACTTATCTAAAAAGCTAATGTCAAAAGAACTTCATTTTAATTCATTTATAAACAAATTCTGGCCTTAATGATGCACGAAAATGCATCCTTATCCTAACATTCTAGACTACATAAAGATTTTGTTAAAACAAAACAATCTTCATACCATTTTAAAGCCCAAGATGCAGACTGTTTCTTTCTCAATGCAGATGCAAAATCATCTTCAGAGAAATTTTTGCTATTAAAATAAAAGATCAATAAATACTTTTTAAATAATTATATTAAACTGCCTGACAGATAGGTCCTCAACACTAAGTAAACCCATAATTTAGCAAGAAATCTGTAATTCATTTATACAGCAAAAATTCTTAAATTGTCAAGAGTATTATTAACAAAATACATTTCTTAAACATAAAACGTGATAAGAAAGTCAGGTCCAGGAGATGGAATCACCCAGTTTATTCAACCTTGGGCACAGTCTTGTTGCTAGGTTTAGAATGACCAAGAACATTCTTCAGCTATGCATTTCTTAGCTTAGCATCACTCCCCTACCACCTAAGAGAGAAATACTGATGTACTATACCTTTGTAGGCCTCTCATTAAAGATGGTGGATTAGATTCATCTATTCCTAGCTTTTCTAGGAGGAATTCAACTACTCCTGGATTAACAAATCCCAAAGAACTCTGCATGATATTTTCATAGGACTCCAAAGAATTACTATTTAGTTCAACACTCCTCCTTTAAAAAAAAAAAAAAAAAAAAAAAAAAAGCAAAAGCAAAAACACAAAAATGAGTAAAATGCTTAGTCCATACCACTTCTATTAAAGAAAGATTATGAGGTTTATATACTAGTATCATTTTTGTACATGTATATATTACATTATCATAGGATTCCTTCTACCAAGTCTGAAGTAATTTAAGGTTTATAAAAATAAAATGAACAGATTTTACAATAAATTAAATTTTCATGTTGTGAGAAGTTTGACAAAATATGCTACTTTAATCCAAGAAATTTGTAATGAACCACTGCTGAAACAGTTTGGATAAATACCTGTAGTACAAAGGAAGTTCTTCAGAAGTAATCACACCTAGTTTAATATTAGACAGGTGTGGTGGAAGAGATGAGCTATACAGAGATACTGCAAGCTTTTCATGGTACCTGTCGATATCCTTGATTCCAGCTTGAAAAAAAGAAAAGAGAGAACTAAGCTAAAAAGAAAATGTAAATTAATATAAAAATATATAAAACTCTCCAAACATTACCCCCTCATTAGGCTACATTATCAAAGTTAGTAAAAACACTTTTTTCTTCTCTTGGTTTTTTGAGACAGGATCTTGCTCTGTACTTGAGGTTGGCCTTTGAACTTGCCATGATCCTCCTGCCTCAGCCTCCCAAGTAAGTGCTGGGATCACAGGTGTGTGCCACCACACCTGGGTTCTGTAAAAAAAAATTTCAATTGTGACTTTTTATTAGTAGAATGAAACTGAGCACCTCGAATGATGTCGCCAGTTTGGTAATATGATAAAGGATCTCCGTGGTTACTGTGAGAAGGCACATCTCTTAATGGGCAAAGAGCCTGCAATGAGAAGTATTTGAAAACACCAGACATTTCATTCTATAGTGAGAACAGTTATCTTTTTTTAGTTGTTTGGTATGAACAGCTAATAATTGACATGAACCTTAAGAAACAACAAAACTCCTAAAGTTTACTGGTTTTTTTCTTTTTAACGGACACATAACTTATAATTTATAGGGCACAGTCTGCTAATTCAATACATTTATACAATGTGCAATTACATTAGGATAATTAGCATTTCTTTTTATTTCTTTGTGCTTGAAGTCTTAGAACGCCTCTCTGCTAGTTCTTCATAAAATATACATTAAGTTGTTATAAACTATCATTCATTACTGTGCTATAGAACACTAAAACTTATTCTTATTTAATTGTATTTTAGTACCCATTATTCTACCCCTTCTATCCTTCAATTCCTTCCCGGCTTCTGCTAATTACTATTCTACTTTCCTTGAGATCAACTTTTTAGTTTCCATAAATGAACAAGAATATGTGGTATTTGTTTTAATGTGTCTGACTCCTTTTACTTAACACAATGTCCCCTAGTTCCAGCCATTTTTCTACCAGTGACAGTATATTCCATTCCTTTTTTATGGCTGAATAATATTTTATCTGTTCATCTGCCAATGGATATGTTGGTTCAGCTAAATTTAAATATGGGTTTTAGTTACAAGTAATTTCTGTATACAAATATGGTAAAAGTTGTTTTCTGGCTCAGTTTGAAAATTATAAATTGTATATAACTTTCCATTAGTTTTAGGAACCAAATATAGATTATAAAACAAAAAGATATTTTGCACTTGTTAAAAATACAATTTTGTGGGCCAGGGATTTAGCTCAGTGGTGCTTCCGCCCACCTCACAAGCGCAAGGTCCTGAGTTTGATTGACAGTACC